ATGGCGATAGAGATGCAGTCAAAGGTTCGCTGATGTTGGATTAATAGAAGCTATAGCTCTCTACCTTTTTTGGGATTCTCCTGTTTCGAATCAGAAATGTTGCGTGAGTTCCTCTGCTAGTTACCGTGTCGGCTCACTCTCAGTAGCGGTGTTACTGTAACACGTTAACCTTCGACACTGGTCTCCCATTGAGCTTTGATTCTCGGGAAGCTTCCCAGGTCACAGATTATTCTGAGGGACTCAACCTATAGCTGCAGCAGGATTGATCTCCTCAGCACCATCGTTATCTTTGTTGGCCACGACTCGTTGCCCTCTTGGGGTTGCTTTCCGAGAGTACTTAGTAAGTTCTACTTACTGCCCATAATACCGTCCCATCCCTTCAGACATTATAGAGAATGCCTGGCGTTTAAAATTTGTTGTTAATGCCGTCGACACCGGAGTGGCGAGCACAATGCGGAGTGACTCCCTCCGCTTACTACCAACTGCACTTACCATCGTTATTCTCGACTTGACCGCAGGATGGAGCAGTGGCGTCGGTGCTGGCACCGTCATTGGACCCGACGGCAAAGACGGACGGATGCTTGAATGGGGGTGGTACCCTCCTTCAAGCACCCGTCCGGCTAGTATCCTCGGGGTAAACTGAAAAGTTATTCTTCGTAGTGAGGGCTGTTGATATCTTAGAGTATCTTCTCGGCGAACACTCTCCAAGTCCTCATCCAATGGCATAGCGGCCCCTATTCTGCGGATGATCTCGACTATCTCTTATGATTCTTTCACATAGCGCGTTGGTTCCGAGGGGATGTTGAGCTTTCATGATCGGTAAGTTAAACAGTTTTCCGTATGACAAGCTATCTCTACAACTTGAGTGACCCCACTTTCAAAGTGCTCAGAAGGCCCTTCGTCAGCTTCACGTAGCTGTACTAACGCTATTGTAACATGTTCTACGATTAGATGCTCCATCACGGCCATGCCTTGTAATTATGATTAACTTACAGGCGTAATGGTCGACTCGAAATCGCACTGCAACACAATATTGTGGGCAGTAAGGATGAAAAGGTCTTGGCTGAAGCAGGGAGCCATCACATCCGCTTACGAGATTACCTCGACACAGCCCTCAACGGGCTCGTCAGAGCTTGGTGGGGTGAATCGCAAGAAAGTGGAAAGTAAAGGAACAGTAACAATCGATTAATACAACAATGTACTTATAATACTGGCAATCACAACAAGAGGTAGAGATGTACTGATACTGTCAGCTGAAGACGGTGCCTTCGTAGTGCCACTCGGGGGAGATGAATCCTCTCCAGAAGGTGATTGGTACTCAACAGTGGACTTACACTGGGTCTTACCGTCGTTGACATAAGAGCTGTATGAGAAGGGAGATTCGTTTGCGTGGATATCCATCTCCAGCAAGGGGACACACGCATCAGGATAATAATCGCGGAAAGTGTGGTATGCATCGACGGTGTCATTAAGCTTCTCCGCATCCTTGACATAGAAGAATGCCTCAATGCTGCCGGGAAGATTGTTGAGCCACGGCGTCGTGTCGAGAACCACTTCGTTGTAGACGCGCTCTTGACGTTCCAGCATGTGCTTCAAATCATTAGGTCCCCACCAGCAAACGTCGTAGTCTTCAACACCGGCCTTGGCATCGAGGACACAGGAATTGTTCGTGTGACGTTGCTCACAGGCAGTATCACCATGATGGCATCCACAGCCACGATTGTAACGGTCATCGGTACCGCCATCCTGTGAGTATGCGCACATCATCGTCGATTTCTGCGGGTTGAAGATTATACCACCGACAGCAGTCGAGTAGACTGGAATACTCCCATCATCGTCATTCCTTGTCTGGTTATTGATGATGAGAGTACAAGCACGATCTCCGGTCGTATCACAGCCATCGTAATCGTGCTCCGCGCACTCCTCGGCTGTATAGGGTCTCCAGGGTTCTCCGACCGCTACAGCATGAGCATGGCTGAAATGGTGAAGAATGATTCCAGCGGCCGTCAGGTCATCGGTGTCATGACCGTTCATGAACCTTTCATTCACACCCTCCAGAACTGTCCTACTTCGGACGGTTATGACGGCCAGGGCGGTGCAGATCAGGAGACGAAACATGAGGAACAGAAACAACTCCAGAGCGGCGGCAATTAACCACGCTGAATTTTGCGACAACCACTTCCGCTTATCGAAGCGATTACCTCGAGGGACGATAATCGTTCCACCGCTTCAACCCTGCAAGCGGAATCAACTCACCCGCCAGATTCTCAGTTTTCTGTAGTCTGGAAAGCGAGAGGGGACAAAGCAGGACATTGTCGCACAATGGTCTAGCTTCGATGATCACGAGGGGACAATTGGTTGTGCTCGCGAAAATGGGTTTCTGATAATATTCTGCCAAGGTGCATTCTCAAATGTATCTCAGTTCATGAGGAAGGATGAAGGGCGAACGAACCCCGTGGTCGGGAATTGAGAGCTCCTCCCAGTTGCCAAGCATCGCATCACGAAAAAAAACAAGGAAATGCAATTTCCCGGAAGGTACATTCCCTGCTACTCATGCTGTTGTGCTAATGAGAAAGAACACAGTTGCTGATGTCCAGAAAAGCAAAGCCCAAGGTTCACTTCATAACGATGTAAGCCTGGATGGCTATCGTTTGCTCATTTGTAGTTTAGGAAACTGTAAAGGTGGTTACTATGTAAAGCAGCAATATACCGCGAAATTAAGCGAGTTTGATTATACAAACGGCAAATCGCCCGTTCTATGGTTGTGCAAATTGCCGCTCTGTAGAGGAGCGCTTTGCCGTTGGACGAATAAGTAGTTGTCGGATTGCATCACGACGCAAGCAAAACTCCCCGTGGAATAGGACACAATGTGACCTTCTCAGTTCTACAGGTTACAGTGTAGAGTCGCAAGGCATAGGAACTACAGTGTGACGTGGGGTTCGCACGAACAGAAGCATGCATATACGTAGAATTGACTACTGCACCACAGAGAGATGGTAACTTCTGATTGTGTCTCGACTATGAGGTCAGGCCAGGCGGTTTTGTAAACTACGGGTAACTCAGAAAAATACTGACGGCGATCACGAAGATGGTCACAGCATCGTGGGGACGATCTACGACGGATCAAATATTCGAACAAGGCATTCGATGTCTGTCAATTTCGTAAAATTAGACAGGCTGGAGCCATCAGTCTGAACGGCTACTCATCCACACCAAAGTTTAACCCAACCGACGGAACTTCTGCCCCGGGGTGTTTAGCTTTGAACGTATCGTGTGCATTTATCGTGTTGTACAGTTGAGCCACCAGATGATCATAACAACCAAAAAATATATGAATGTCCGGCATGTATATACGTCGAGGGAGATAAACAAGCCTGCTCCCAGTGCAAACACGAGATGTAAGACCTGTGCTCAGCTCCTATGTGGGCTGTTGGGTTGGAAGGCGAGAGGTTACTCAGCAGGCTCTCATCGTCACTTGTTAATTACACTCATCTTCAACTCAAAGCGCTTTTGATGATTTTTCAGCTCGGTAGAGTGTAAAAATTGGTGCACTGAATGATACGCTCGATAGTAATACAGCAGAAGTGCGGTCAACAGCTGAATGAACGAACGCCTTTCAGAAGCCGACATTGAAGCTCGAACCACAAGAGCACTTGGATTCGGCCAAGACGTTCTCGCTGACCTAAAAAACCAAATATGAGACCGTAGGCGAAGACCTATATATTACCACAAACCTGGAACCAATCATCTCCTCAACATAGTCGACTTTGCAATGATCGAGGTAGGACTCGGACTGAAAACGCAACCATGCAAAGACAACACGAGGGCACCACCAAACAGAGTATTCTCCCCTCGGGTATTACCAGTGCATCTACTAACATCACGACAGATCCATCGTCCGCCTCTACCTTATTGTCTGTCGGAGTAGCCGTGTCGGCAGGGACGAGATCGAAGTAGTACCTAGGTGGACGGTCTCATACAATCCGTGAGGAAAGCACCACGTGAGCGTACTGGAAGCCGCCGCATCCGCCGGAATCGACAGTGAGTCGGAGCGCTAAAGGGATATTACGCTTTTTGCTAACATCGATTATGTGCTGAGAGAAGCGTCTGTGGTACCACAATCTGTTATGCAGGAGAGGCTACCTCAACGCCAGCGGGCTGCAATGTGACGTTCCCGTTCTCCGATACTGCAGCTTTGAATGAGGCCGCCGCTGCTTCCGCGAACCATCGTTGGGACTGCGCTACTGCTGGAGGCAAGAATCGTGAAGAAGCTCGGACGGCTAGAGGTCGGAAAAGGGACCGTCCAAGTGTAGTGGAGAGTGATGGTAGCATACGGTAAGGGGAAAACAAGTAACTTGGTAAAAGAATTACACTTTACCTGGTCGGTAGCGCTACTGATTGCCCACGGCTCGTATCGACTGAGTTGTTGGAGAAGCCGATCATCGGTTGTCGATGGACGATACGTATCTTCTGGAAGTCCTAGCAACATCGAAGAGCAAGGTCAATCCTAGCACTCAGCCTTTTCCGGCGCAAGTAGCGCACGCCCAGATATTCGGCCCAAGCGTCTACGGCAGACATGCGTAAAACGTTCGAGTTAGAATGCGTCTTCAGGATTACTTGACACATGCCACTGTTAAGCGGCGACAGGAGCAGGGATGCTACGTACAAAAACTCCAGTTGCTTCTCTGTGGGCGTAACGTGTATTGTGCCTGATTGCCGGAAGCGGGTTCGCGCCGTTTTATATCACTGACTGATCTGAGATGTATGTTTCCTGAGTGCCGATCCCTGCAGCGTGCTGGCAACGCAATAGCGTAGAGTCCGCCGCAGAGTGCTCGCAATAATTTTCTGCATTGCACTAAGCATGGAGGTGATCGTCGTTGTGTCGCTGCCAGCTGTGGTAAGGGTGCAGTAGGTAGGGCATCCTTCTGAGCTCAATTCGATTATTGCCTTCAAGCATAAATGGTTCACAAGTGTCAGAAGAAGGCGGAAATGGAGGCAAAGGAGTGGGATGCGGGTGAACTCCTGCTCCCAGAGGATAGCAGCCACATATAAACACTACTCCAAGCAATACACCGAGCTTGTTCTGTCATCTAGTCGCTGGAAGATGAGGATATGATGGTACTGTATCAGCCGTGGGAATAGCTATGCAAGTGCTCGAGCGTTGCTGGATATCTCCAAGTTGTGTAAGAGCATCACTATGCGCCATTGTGGATGCTAAATCCTACGGATGAGACCTACAATGAGAGCTCTGGTTCAGAATCCTATCGACTACAGCTATCACTGTACTGAAAAAAAGAGGCTGGAAACGATGATTCAAGACTGGAGACTTCCCCCGCCGAACTCCCCTTGACTGGACATTTACCCGCACCCGTAGTACCCGCATAGATGCACACACACTACGAGAAGATGTTTATCTAGCCCAATCGCCTCAACCGTTACTATTACAACGCAAGCGATAAAGGCTGCTCGAGAGGAACACAGGAGATACACTTTCATACTGCATTTAGATAACTTTATACTCTTATCATCTTCAAGGCGGGGAGGCCGGTTGATCACTTCCGGGCTTCAGCTTCTGCTTTTGCCGGTCTTGATAGGGGTTGAGTTCAGTAGGGGCAATAGGATGAGGGAGATCCTCAATGTTGTTGTTATCGCCACTACTACTACTACCGTTGGTAGACAATAACTCAGTCGACGAGGGAATGTCGGAATTGTCCACACTTACTAACGGGGTATAGGATGACGACAGTCTCGACAACGAGCTTTGATCAACTCCATGATGAAAGGAGTCTTCAGGCAGCAGCACTATACTAGTACCACACGAGACACTAGAATCAGTGGTAGTAGAGGCAGCTGTAGTACAGCCAGTGGTGGCAGTGCTGCTCTCATCATTCAAAGGAGAGGAGGATGAGGAGGAACACAGATCTTCCGCAGCCTCTTCGCAAGCCCCATGGGACAGTGTATCAGCAAACAAACGTTCGATCAGAGTAAGCCCACAGTTTTCGGCTTCGGTTGTTCGACTATAGGGGGAAGCCAAAGCAACCACAGAAGATGCCCTTTTGTTCGGCCTGCCAACCTTCCGAGCTAAATACTCCCGAGAAATCATCCTGGCCTCATCCAGAGTGTTGGTGAGAATACACATCTCAATGAGAGACGAATTACTCGCACTCTTCAATTTCCCCATGGATCTAACTATCGGCCTCAACTCTGGGTGTTTACGCATTTCCTAAGAACCCAAGCAGCACTGACATCATCAACACAACACGAGCCTATTGACTCCCACCTGCCCAATCATGCGCCTCACTCGCATACGTCCATTTTCCCCCAAGGGCAACTTCGTGAGCGACGACGCCAGCTTGCGTATACCAGCATCACCTCTTATATCTGGGCCCAGCACGGCCATCCCAGCGGTAGGACTATTACCACTGCTACTGCTGTTCTCGAGGCAACAACCATTGTCACTTGTCTGAATGCTGGCAGCCACCCCGGCTGTTGAAACCGACTCAGAAGAAGAAGGAGAAATGAGGCCAATAGATGCGGGATAGCGGGAGGATAGTAATGACGATGATGAGCGATCAGCATGAGCAGACCTCAACATACGAAGCGTGCGATATGATGATCGCAGGGAATAGCAAGCCTAAATAACCGAACATAGATCACCAATTGAAACTCGTACCACACCAATACTTCATCGTATCAGGAAACCTTATCAATAAACACAGTACATCTATTCAGACGTGGCCCTCTCGATGAGCTCTTGAGCTAAGCACCCAGCTGCCGACGATGATGCTACTAAAATTAAGTCCGACTGCAAGGCACTTTCTCGACCTGAAATTTCCATAACGGTGAACTGACCAGTGCCGGCAATCTTACAGTGGGCGAAGACCATCTCCCCAGAAGGCGTTGTAGCAGCAAAGATCCTCTCGTCGCCAATGACTTCAACCAGATGGAAGCCGACGTCGTCTGTCAATCTGCTGGACACTTCCGGTACCTAGGGAAAAATAACTTCCACAACAGCGGAGCGAAGCTAGTCTCACGTGGGAGAATGACAGCTGTATCTCGCATGAGTCCTGAAGCTTCTGCCACTCTCCACCCAACTGCTCAGTAGTGATATCCAGAGGCCTCAACTTCACCTCCTCCTCTTCCTCCACCTGGGGCTGTTGGGCCTCGATGGAACCATACGAGCCCGGGGACTGCTCCAACAGATTGAACTAAACCACCGGAGTACTCCCCAAGACAACTACTGAGCCGCTCTCGATACTACCTCCTGCTTTGATGGCTGCTGAACACTACGGTGAACAGGTACCAGAGAAGGGGCCGATGAAGGGGCTGCACTCCCTAGCATATCGTCATCGTTGGATGATAGAATATCCAACGACGAGGTAGTGAGGGGCACGGGCATTGCCACAGCCTCTGCTGAAGGAAAACTCGAGTCCAACTCGCCAGGACTAGAAGTGGCCACCTACCCTCAGCAGACTCTCGATGAGACTCCTCTGCAGTAGGTGATCCGAACAGGTCCAATAAGTCAACAGCCTTAGTGGGCGGCGGTGGAGGCGCCTTGGGTGCTGCCGACTTCCCATCTGCTACCGACCCAGCCTTAGGCCGAGAATAGCCCGGCTGGCCAACCCTGACAACATCACATATAGAAAGCGATCGGTCCGAATCAGCCCACAGTGATCTCGGCCCAGCTATCGGTTGCCGCCGTGTAGCCGTATTAGTACTACCATCATTAGTACCAATGCCAGCAAACAACGCGCCAGCCATCTTCTCTTGAGCTGCCCTACGGCGTAACTCATCCGGAGTAGGATAAGTAGAGACAGTAGCCAGGGCGGGCGGTGTCCTTGAAGGAGGCGCGGGACCTGATGTCACACCAAGTCTTTTGAGAAGGCTCCTCGAGGCGGTAGTACTCGGCTGTTGGAAAGTCGATGATGCTGCTGCTGGGGCGGCGGCGGAGGCGATCGCCTCCGCGGGTTTTCGAGCATTGAAGCCTTGAGGGCCCCACTTCTTCGGGGCATTCACTCGAAGACCACCTGCTGGGGCCGGGGGCTGGGTAGAACCGGACTGGTAAGGACTGGACACTGGCGGCTTATTCTGAGAGTAGCACGACATTTTTGATACCACACCATTGTGAAGATCTACATTTCATTACCATAGGGGAGTCTCGCCACGCTTCCGAGCTAGACTGCGCTGTCTGTCCTCCTCCTCCTCCTCCTACTGTGGTACTACTACTAGGCTGAGACACTGCCCCTTGGGACGGCATGGTAGGTGCGCTATAAGGCGTGAAGTTGAGACCAGAGAGAGCACGATGACGTTCTTCATACGAGGACGACGACGCCGATGCCTCGACAGCATAGGCCATAGCACTAGGCCGATCGTATCTTCACAAAGGCAGCTACATACACCCACAGCTTCACACCAGGGCTCACTCTTTCATCCCCTCCATTATGGCTCTATCTACCACACCGTCGAGGAATGATAAAGATATGTCGATTAAGGAGTCCGATTGCTCGTAGTTGGTCTCGTCGTAGGGGAAGGCCGACGGCAGCAGGTCCGGCGAGCCGTCGAGGATTTTGAGGTACCTAAACCCGACTATAAGCAATAGCATATCCTTCAACTAAGACCACTACTCGAGACTCCTCTGGTACATGTCCGGGTCGGTACTGTACTTCCGTAGGGCTCGTCGCACCTACAACTGGAAATAGGCCCACTGGGGTCAGACCGAAGCCAGCATCCTACTGTGTCCACGGAGGGCGTCGAGGCAGTTTGCTGTTGCTCCTGACTGAGTAACTTCATCATCGCCGAGAAAAGATAACCTCGAGTGACTCTGGCCTACCAGTGAGGACGCCCCATCACCATGACCCTTTGGCGCAATAGCCTACCTCGGTGAACGTAGGCCGATCCACTGCTTGGCTCACCAGAATGTCGATGATGTCATCAGTGGTGTAACCACTCAATGTGCACATACAACCGTATTCGCCCAACACCTACACGACCTTGTTTATGAAAGTGTCACTCAAGTTCTCTGTAGTACCCAAGCCGCGATCCTCACGAGGACATCGGGCAAACTGTCAGAGTTATCAGCAATCATCTTCACGTAGGTGTTAACGGCCCATCTGAAAGAATATACGTCGGCTTCCCTCAGCTGCGTGCAGGAGTCGCTCCACCACATGAAAATTCACACACGAGTTGGTGCCGAAACCAACAAGAATTCCCTCATATAGATGACTATGTGCATATTTTCCGGACGTGTTGGTGTCAATCACCATCGACACGATCATAAGAGCGATGACCTACACTCTAAACTCAGGGTCGTCCTCGCCACTCTCTGCGACCAAACGCATAAGGGAGTTGGGCATAGAAGGAGGCACCAAGGAAGGGGCCAACTTGAACACCTGGTTAATGGTCTCGGCATACCATTGATTCGATGGTGAATATCTGTCTGCTAGGGAGCCAACTTTCCGGACCTGAGTGATAATCCTGGATAAACACGAATAACAGCTGAGCAGCATGAGCCTATGAGTACTACTACCCACGTCCTTACCAGATCTCTGCGTAGATGGACATCATGGGAGCATCGGAGGTTTTGCAGCATCTTAGCACACACCACAATGACGTTAGCTGTGTTGGCCATACGGTAAAGCAGATCCAATGTACCTTCACATCGACACACACGTTCGACAATCTACTACGCTCTATAGGATAATCCGAATAAGAATAATTATAGAAAATTATTTTCTATACCCATAATCGGGAAATAGTCATAATAGAGACCCCTCGGAACTATTTCGATTCCCTACGACTCCAACAAGCCTCAAAAGTATACTATTCCCTACACTACGTCTCTTGAGAGTTTCGTCAGGATCCTCCAGGCATTCTACAACCTTCAGCTGATGCTCCCTCGCATAGTCTGGGTTCACTTTAATCTGCGAAAAAGGACAAGTCAGCCGCCGTCCGCTGTGTGATCACATCTCACGATCATCGCCAGTCCGGTGACTCCAAGGTACTTGAGGTTGTGACTGTCACTCTGTAGGAACTTTGATATAGAGGCAGCACTCTGTTCTAGAAGGGTGTGGCTGGGGTACAGCTTAGCCGCGCATTTGACGCACTCGTAGACAACACTATACCCAGCGTTGACACCGGTGTCGGCACGGCGCATGGTCTCCTGTATTATGTCGTATACTTGGGCACTTACATCTGAGAGGAGCATATGCAAGTAACACATGCAGGGATTGAACCAGGGTGCTTAGATGAGACAACATCGATGTCAACCACTACACCAAATTTCTCGGCTAGATACCAGCTAGATAGATATCAGCATTAACCACTTACCTTGATCTCCTTCTCCCAGCATTCCCATAAGATTCACCAAATTAACTTGCAGCCAAGGCGCCGGCATACGATGGTAGTCAAAATCTCTCGGCAGTCTATGCTCGATTATTTGCTTCAGAATATTCACCAGCGAGGGTACCTGAACATCCTAAATCTGCCTTTCAATGACATTGAACATTACTACCAAGTCCTTGCAGGAGTCAGGATCACTGCGAATGATGTCCCGCAGCAGATTCAAACTAGCCCCCATAACTGCCGGATCAGGATCACACAGAGCTCTACGCACATCCTGCTGGACATCATCAACTACAGAGTCCGGCGACAGTCTGAAGAAGTGTTGAATACCTGACAAGGTGCTAATCCGATGAAACTCTAGAGTGAACTGTGTGTACAGATGATGGCCTTCTTCCGCACAGCATCTTGGGAATGTGTAAGAAGTTTGGTAACCAAAGGCAATATTGCTGGGATCATCTCAGCGTTCACCACCTGGGTGACGGCCGACAGAGCTGCACAGGTCTCTAGGAAGTTGGAACCTTTCACAGTGGGAGATACTCCACATGGTGAAGTTCTATGTATCGACCTACTGCCGAGGTCCCGCTGCATGGTGTTGATCAACAATAGCATCAACTCGTCATCACCATTGAGGAACAGGGACGAAGCCATGTACCCAACTTTCTTACTGTATACGTTCTAAACAGTGTGGGTGGGAAAATACGCACATTCGGCGACCATATAAAAATATAGAGGAAATTTTTGGGAAATTCCTGTGAGTTTCTGTCCACTTTTACACTATTTCGTATGCAAACTTGTACGATTTCCCGAGCTCAGCTGAGGAGAGCGAAAATATATTCCAACACTAGTACTGAGCTCAGTAAGCGACCATCTCCCTACCTTATCCTGAGCCAACTTGACAGCGTGTATGTAGGCAAAAGAAGCATCGTGCCCGAGCATTTCCACATAAACAGCTCGTATCATATACCTAGCCGATTCGGTGGACCCCAGAAGGGAAAGAAAATTCAAGAAGTTACTCCTTCATTTTTTTGGAAGGAATATTGGGCTCCAAGAGTTTTCGCTTTAACACTTGCACTTCCCCTTGTATGATTTTGTCCTCTTCCTGCTTCGACCTGAGACACCACCATTGGTCAACGTACTTAAAATGGAGCTTTTACTTGCTCTCCCCGATGGCCTTTATGAGCTCGAAAAAATCCTTGGACAGATGGCCTCCTGACATGATCGAATAAAGGTAAGGTCAATCTCTCTGCAATGGAAGCTGCTGCTCGTTCGCTGCAGAGAACTAACAACGCGGATGTTCGCTACTGAAAGTACCGCTAAGATGTATCAAAAACCAAGCCAGATGCAAAGCTGTGAGTATGGAAAAACCTTTCAAGCCGCACTAGCCCCCAACCCTTGACGATGACAATGTGCAGAAAATTGAGTCCCAATGCAAAAACAGAAAAATAGATTTCTGTGTTACATCTGAGATACAATGCAACTCCACTCTTAGACACGTTTGAGCTAGACCGATTACCCGTAGTAGATATAATATGGTCCGACTGCTGATTTGGACCGTTGAGTAAATGCAAGATGAGCAAGATTAGCAAGATTTGTAACTTCGGAGTGTATACAGTCAGCGTTGTTTCTATTCTACCATGCTTTACTACAGTTCCTCTCTACCGTATTGGATAGCCTTTGTGAGCGTATTTGGTGCAGTACTTGTGTGGTAATATATGGGAGAAACATACAAGGCTCTTTTCGCACCTTTTTTTCGCGTCCCTTTGGAATTTTTCCGGAATATTTTTCACCTTGCTTTAGCGGTCGAGCTCCCTATATAGAGCAGGCTGGAGGTGTGAGTAGAGTAGTGGTAGTAGGCGTATGGACTACCATATTTCAACAAAAATTTTGTTTCACCAAAAGAACATAGTAAATTGAATTTCCCTAGGTACCTTACTCGGGAGCAAACGCCCGTTGCTATTCCCGAACCCTATAAGGACTCCCAAGGCCGACTGGTATATTCCATAGCCGCGTTGCAGCGCTTCGATGGTCGTAATAATGAGGAGAAAAAATGTACATGGGCCTGAAGGGGAAGGTCTATGATGTGACCAAGAGCCCTATGCTGGGTGTCCCTGGCGAGCACTATGCCAAGATCTGGGCTGGCAAGGTAGGATGGCGATGATGATGATGATATGGAGAAGCTATTTTACGGTTTTTCCATCAGGATTGCACCGTGTCCATGTGCCTGCTCTCGTTGAAGGCCGAAGATGCCAATCGCACAGATTGGGATGCGATCCAGAAGGAGAAGCCGCAGTATAGGAAAACCCTGCTCTCTTGGGTTAAGCATTTCCATGACAAGTACTTGGGCCCAGCAGGGATCTATTTACCTCTGAGAAATGTCCTTATGGGGGAAATGTTCCTTATACATTTACGTGGGAAACTGATTGAAGAATGTGGTCCTAGCCATACGTGGAAAATTCAAAATGAGCTCCATCAGGGAACATTATAGGTTCCTCGATGATCCCTATAGTGCTTGCTTTCAGATACCCTGTAGTTGGCTATGTTGAGGAATATATTACGGATGGCAGGGACCTTGAGGCTGAGGTGAGGGTGTGATTTGGTGGGGGGATGGTATCTATGATTTTTATGGTAGGACAAACAGGATTGGATCGAGATAGAGGAAATCGAGAAGGCCAAGGCTGCGGAAAAAGCAGCGATTCTTGAGAAGAACAGAAAAGAAGCTGCTGCTAAGAAAACAGCGGCTAAGTGAGCTCTTCAAGCCTTGTTTCAGTACATTGCCGAATACTGGTGTATTGTCGTTCATAGTGATCTCAATGATGGTGGTTATATGGTGCTCCTCTGTACTGCGAGTGGTATGCTTGTTGGTTTATGATGGAAAGGTTGAGACATACTCGACTGGTTAGTAAGAACCGAGCCAAGTGCTGGAGAGCTTAGTTCGTCCTATGCTGAGGGGAAGTCGGCCTCCTTCATACGACTGTTGTGGTGATGCTGGGCCAAGGTAGTGTAGTCGTACTACGCCCTTTCAATGGAGAGGGTTCGGCTACTACAAGGAAAGGTTCACACTTATCTTACTGTTCGACTGCACTTGATCGATGAATATATGTGGGGGAATTTGTTCGCCGTAGTTGTTGATTCCTCGATATCCCTCCCCTCACCATCCTTACAATGTGTATTTCTCAGCTCGATAGGGTTCCACGCTGGTTGCTTTCGCTTCACTCGATGTGGTTGGCCTCAGTGAGCTCCCTATAGAGGTAGACTGGGCTTGTTGCAGTAGTAACCAGAGGACCCAGTATATCGGGCGGCGTATTTTCATGATGGCAGGGCTTGGCAATTTACTTGGCTTTGATGGTGTTGGTTGAGTTGCGAGTAGGTTAGTTTTCAAGGTCCCAAGTTCGATTCCGGGGGGGGAGTATATTTCTGAAATTCATGCGAGTATCGTTGTTCCTGTTAGTCCTTGTTAATTTTGTGAGCGTTTTATCGAACCCGGACTGCTAAAATGGATATTGCTGCGGTCTGCAAGAACGGCGTTGAAATATACCGCTTCGATCTCGTCGATAAGTCGCTGAAGAAGCTCACAACATTAGAGGGATCTCATGTCACCAATGCGGAAGGTTTCCATTGGAACGCAGATGGTAACACTGCCGGCTACCATCCGTGAGGTCTCGGGTTCGATTCCCACACGTGTTGTTTTTAGGCACGCTCTGTGCTTGTATGAACAACGAGAACGGTATCACTGTATACGATGTAACCAAAGACTACAAAGATATCGTTATGGTGGCCACGCCCAATTCCAAGGGCTTCAAATATTTTTACTTTTCTCCTCTGTCCAGTTATATGGTAGCAACGGAGCGATGCTCGAGATCATCTAAGGTGTAGATTAGGTTACGTTCGAGAGGTACGACGCTAAGCGTGAGTTACCGAATCTAGCCTTGTGGAGTGTTGCGGGTCGATGCAAAGCAGTCGAGAGCCGCATGAAGAGGATGAATAAGCATCTATGGCCAGCAATGAAGTGGACTGATGATGAAGCCTATTGCGTGCGGATACTCCCCGACGCTGACATTGTAAGTAGTGGAATATATGTTCGCTTTCATCAGCTCATCTCGGAATTTACTCGCGATTCGGGGTAAAACTGTACAGAGACCAACAGTAATCTCCTTACAATTTTCGCATTGCCACTAACACCTGTGCATAGTTCCTCACCCTGAGGTCTAGTCGTAGTATTATTTCAGCTGCAAGTATTGAACTCGACGAAGGCAACAACCAACGAGCAGACGATTCCGGGTATACAGCAGATCGAGCTGTCCCCCTCGGGGCGTGGTGGGTAGTTTGCGGCTTGTGTGATCGTATCGTCTTGTTGCAGAGGTCGAGAGCGAGCCCAAGGTGGCTTGTGTGGTGTCCAGAGGAAAGGAGAGGCGCCCGGCGGTAGGTTGGTAATATACAAGATAGTAGGGCTGATGGGAGTTTAGGTTCACGTCTCGATGCTGAGCGATCCTCAGAAATTCGTTTTGTCATACAGCTTCCCGGAGGGCGATGACATTACCCTCTACTGGAACGCCTCGGGGACTAAGCTTCTTGGCCTCCTCAGCTTGGACGTGGACGAGGCCGGGAAGAGCACGTAAGCTGGTGTACGTTGGGAGTACCTATGTGGTTGTATGTGGTAGGTATTATGGCACTAACATGCTGTATCTATTCGACATGGTCAATAACGTCGTGTCGAGGGTCGCATGCAAGTCCCCTATACATGATATAGGATGGTGTCCAGGGAACGCACGGAAGGGGAAAATCGGTAGCACAGAGGCATTGGTGTAGTGAAGGAGGTGTGGAATAGGTAAAGCTGATGAGGCAGAGGAGGAGTTCATCCTCATTGCGGGTCCGATCCCTCCTGAGACGACTCTACTGAGTACGGCTAGTATAAAGGACAGTGCATCGGATTCGGGAGGCACTGAGAATGGCTCGGCTGGTCAACGGCATCTTGATGTTGTACACGGTATGGGTAAAGCGAAGCGCAACACTGTAAGGAGGGGAGGCGGTCTCCTATCTTGAATAGTACCTTAGGTCTGCTGGAATCGTTATGGGCGATATGCTGTAGTGGGTGGGTTTGGTAATATGGCCGGCGAGATGGACTTCTGGGATATGGCTGAATGCAAGGTTGTAGGGAGTCTCCGGGCCGAAGTAGGAACATATACGTGAACCCCTCCTCCTCCTCCTCGTCGTTGCTGTTGTTGCCGTGCATTAGTAATTCTCAGTGCCCAGTGATAAGCACGTGGGCACCTGATGGTCGTCACTTCTCCACAGCCACCACCTGGCCTCGAATGCGGGTTGATAACAAGATTGATATCTACTCCTATAATGGTAGTCGCCTCTCGCGGGTCTCCCACTATAGTGTCACCCTTAGGTCGTTTGATATGTCGTCATGAATTCAATGAGCTTTACTCGGCATCATGGAAGCCTTCTGCTGCATTCCATGTAATCACGTTTAGTTGCACTCTTGCCTCATTCCGGTCTCAGGACGTACCGAGCTCTCCTCGAGCACTAGCGACGGCATTGGATGGGCCATCGGCTCCAGCGGCCTCGAAGGCTTATCGTGCGCCAGGAAAGTGAGAGAGTTTCGGTACAAGACTTGGTTGAAGTTCTTGGTTCCGCAGATCCCCTCAACCGGGTTCCCAAGACGATAGCGAGAGTAACGGTGGTCACGATAGCATGAACGATGTAATGCTACAAACGCTTGTGAAGAGTAGGTTATGTTTGGGTGGTTATAGGAGGTCTCGGCTGAGGAGGAGCGTCGTAGAGGGCTGTTTAGTGCACTATTGAGAGGGGAGGTTGATCTCGAGGATCTAACTCCGGAACAACGCGCTGCCTATGGCGGTGATAGAGCGGATAAAAAGAGTAGGTTGGCATGGTTAGGTTAAGTATAGTACCTCTGATGGGCGCCATCCAGGTGGTAAGCATCCTAGTGCTAGAGGTGAGTTGTCCCCTAAGGGCACCGAAACCCTCTCGGAGCCGAACACCACCGCCACCACCAAACGGTTGTCTCCGGTGGCCGCGGCAACTCCTCCGGTTCCTCCTCCTGCTCCTATGGTGGTTACTCCCCCGTCGAGTCCGCAACGTCCAAAGCTCGCCCCAGCTCCGGAGCGTGGCTGGTACTATAAAGATTTATCGGATACAGTTCAGGGGCCTTTCACACGGGAAGCTATGCGAAGATGGTTTGAACGTAGGTTAACACGATGCTGTAGATCTCATGCAGTTGGTGTGTTATCTTTCAGAGGGGTACTTGAAACCTGACTTGTTGCTGCGCATCGGCAAGAGCTCGAGTTTCCGCTTCCACCCATTGAGGGAGCTTTTCCCCGCTCCTGTGGACTCGCCCAACCCTCGAGCCAGCGCACCTTTTCTGGACTTGATGGTGGCCCCTTCTGATTGGGTTACGCAGATGATGGAGATGGTGAGAGAGAAGCATCATCAACAATGACCAGCAGCGGAGTTGACTGTTTATCGTTACTGCTACTAGCACTATTACCACCACTATAGTTTCGAGAGGCAAGCAATGGCCCAGTTACGGGGGCTCTGCACTGCAGCAGTCCGTTCAAGTGTGCTGTTTGTTTGTGTTCAGTACACGCTGGGGAGAGTGAACCCAACCGGTCATCCCTAGAATACAATAACGCGCCAAATCTACAAGTGTAGACATCGAGGAGCTTGTATCGTGTCTAAAAGAGAGTCTCACTCTGAGACTCTCACACCACTCGCTATTTCACAGCCATCATTCTTGTCTGCTCACTTGTCCAACTTGCACGGGAAAAGGTGTAGTGAACTTTCAAGACACAAATTCCCTTTCTCCAGGCCGTTCAAATCGACGCAGATACCCGAATTCCTCATTGCTCTTAC